CTAACTTGAGCAGGTGTTTTTCAGGGTTTCCCACCAGAGTTGAACTTCAACATTTTAAGGCATGTTATTACACCTTTACAAACATGTTGGTGAAGAAGTTGTTTGGTAACGATTTAGTTGGCAGATTTGTGAAAAATCTCATAAAATGTTCTTACTATAAAAGAAAAACCAACTCTGACAACAAATGAAAGTCTCACAACTCGTTAGTTTTTCTCTTTAAACCTGAAATGATTCGGTACCTTCATGAAGCGCTCACGGTCACATTCAACCATTTTTTCTGCTGCTGTTTATTCAAAAACACTGGAATCTACAATCACTGGAAAACTAGTGAACAAATGTGTTTCTGAAAACGTCTGAGGCCAGAGATAACCCGAGCAGCTGCTGAACCTCCTGAAGCTCGACGTAGCGCCGCTAAGTCGTCTTCAGAGTGACAACAAACAGGAAACGTGGATCCAGACGATGCGCTCGTCGCTCCAGAACCTTCTTAAAACCCGACGACTGCCAACGAGCCTTTTAAAATCCTGTGTTGGTCTGCAGGTGGAGTTGAGTCAGGCAGCAGCTGTGGAGAAGCTCGGCGGTGATTTCAGAGGTTCTGACATCGTTCCACTAATGGAGGCGACAAAATGACAAATGTGCTGCAGCTGGAGGCGAACATCAGCAGCTCGCTGGCTGTTTGGTGTCGTTTCTGTCTGGTTGTGACGCTTCTGCATCCAGCAGTGTTTGTTTTTGCCAGTTTTACATCTAATTTTGCTCTTTTTGTGCGTCTTTGTGTTAGTTTTGTGTTGTTTTGGTCAATTTTGCGAATCATTTTGACCATTTAGTGTCTCTTTGTGACGATTTTGTGTCTTTGTGGTAGTTTTGTATCTAATGTTTTTCAGTTTGTGTTTGTTTTGGCCAGTTTTTCATCGAGTTTTACGTCTTTGTGTTAGTTTTGTGTTGTCTGTGGCAACTTTGTGTATCATTTTGAGTCTCTTTGTGACAATATGCATCAAACTTTGCTCAGTTTGTGTCTTTCTGTCGAAGTGTTTTGTCTCTGTGGTAGTTTAGTGTTTCTGTTTCTGTCTGTTTCTGTTCAGTTTGTGTTTGTTTTTGCCAGTTTTCGTCTAATTTTGCTGTTTTTACGTGTCTGTGTTAGCTTTGTGTGCCACTTTGTGTATTATTCTGATCATTTTCTGTCTGACAATTTTGTGTCTTTGTGGTAGTTTTGCATCGAATTCTGTCAGTTTGTGTTTGTTTTATTGACGGTTTTTCATCTAATTTTACGTCTTTGTGGCAGGTTTGTGTTGTCTGTGGCAACTCTGTGTATCATTTTGTGTCCTTGTGCATCAATATGCGTCTAGTTTTCGACAGTTTTTTGTCTTTATGCAAACAATTTTGTGTCACCTTTGGTCATGTTGTTTCTCTTTGTGGCAATTCTGCTCAAACTGTGTGTGGTGGAAGTTTTGCATCTCTTTGTGGTAGTTTTGTGTTTTTCTTTGTGACCATCTTGCGTCAGATTTTGCTTTGTGGTAGTTTTGTGTTTTTCTTTGTGACCATCTTGCGTCAGATTTTGGTGATTTTGTGTCTCTTTGTTGTGACTCTCTTGGTGGAAATGCTAAATATGCTGCAGCTGCTGCTGAATATCAGCAGGAGGAGGTAGAAATGTTCAACTGGAGACGTAGAGTCTATAAAACTGGACCGCGTTGAGTTTTCAGTGTGCAACTGTAAAGAAAATGTCCTTCAGAGGTTTTGCGTCTTTTATTCCTGCAGATGATCGAGACCGAGTGCTTCATGGAGCTGAATGTTTTCTACCAGGACGGGACGGTTCCTCCAGACCTGGACTGGAGAGGCCAGCCGTCTCCTCCGCCCAAACAGGGGCTGCTGCAGCGGCTGTTCGGCCGACAGGTCAGCGAACGCACCGCGACATCATCTGTCCGTCCACAAAACACCCGATACTGACCAGTTTGTGGGGAAAAACTAAACTAAATCATAGTTTTCAGTTTAACTGACTCAGTCAGGATCTCCCTGATGAAATTTGGATGAATCACAAGATGACTAGAGCAGTTTTGTAAACACTTTAACTCATGCATGTGACGCCGCAAGAGGGAAGCTTTTATACTGGAAACCCTCAAAGAAGAAGCAGGATTAGTGATTTGATGGAACCTGTAGGATGGTTTCAGCAAAAATAAGAAATTAGGTACTATATAGTCAAAAAAGAAACTTTATTAGACTATGGAGTGATTGTTGGCTTCAAACTACCTGCTTCAGACGATGCTGCAGCACCTGAGTGCCACGTTTAGTGCAGAACTGCATTTTCTCATCTATTGGGGGCTTTTTTTTTAGGCTAAACTGGAATGATCTGGTCATTTTAAATTAGAACCAGAGCACAAAAATTATAAAACTCCCAAAATTCATCCAGCTGTCGTCCCAAGAGAAGCTCAGACTGATAATGAAGCTCTTAAAAGCTGCTGCTACAAAAACACACAAGTAATTGTTTAGGATGAATTTTCAGCGTTCTAAGCCGGAAAATCTCTGAAAATGTTGAATCCATTTACCGTCAGCACGTCCACAAGCAGGAAAACTGCTCAGAACAGTCTAACTTTGACTCAAAAATCAAACTCTCTACGTCAAAAGACAACATTTAAAATACGATCTGTGAATTGCACAACTGCACATGAATAGAAATCTTAAAGGTGCAGCAGCTTCATGCAACATGAACAGAAAATCTGTAGAAATTAATGCTTCATGTGTTTTTTTTTTCTCTCTGTGGCTCCCCCTGCAGGACTGCTGTGGTAACTGCAGCGACAGCGACGAGGAGCCCACCAGGCTGTGACCCACAAACACACAATCTTATTTGTTTACAACCTTTTGCACATTTGTATTTTACGGTAGTCCTCTCTCTGAACGTCAGAATGTATATTTTCAGCCTCGCCACGATGTTTAATGTTATTTAAAAGTGTGAAAAACCTGCTGTGGACGGAGACGGACGTAAAAACTTCTTCTTTTCTTTTGTTATTGTTGTTGTTTTGGCTTTTGTTTTGTTGTTGTTATTTGTCCGGGGAAGGCTTTGCTTTCAACTCACACACTGAACTGAGAGCCTGCTGTAGAAGTGCCTTGCTCGAGGGCACCGCGGCCGCCGAGGCAGGACCGGAACCGGCCTCCACTCCGCCGCGACCCACCTCACTGCTTTTTTTTAAAAAAAAAATCTTGTTTTGCTGGGACGTTGTGGTTTTTCAGACTTTTGATGCCAGAACCACAAAGTCAACACCTGCAGATGTTTTTTAATCGATCTTATTTTTAGAAATTTTGTTTCCGACGGATTTCTCGAGACAATCGACTCGTCGGCTTCGGTTGCTCTCGTCGGTAAGGCGACCGCAGAGCGTCCAGCTTTACAGAAACTCTGAGAGACAAATGAATCGCTTTGTTGTGCCTTTGATTTCCTCGCTGGGGTTGGACTTGTTTTTGACCTACGACACGATTTTAAACTTTTGACCTGAACACATTATCGCTCTCTAATTTCCAAATAGTGTCTTAAGAAATAGATGCGTAGTTCGGTTCCAACTGTACATGAAATAAGTTAGAATAAGCAGCTGTTGATTTTCAAGCCAGGTCTGTGAAGATTCTCAGTCATCCAGGTCGTGGTTATTCTCGTAGTTTAGTCGTAGCAACTGGACTTTGAGTTCCTTGAAGACGTTTCATCCAAGAGGCTTCATCAGTTCTGACTGACTAGTTGGGAGTTCCAGATACTTATATCCTTAAGGAGCCATTAACACCTGGTTTCCGTTTTAATTGGGGGTTTGTTGCTCCTCGCCCTCGCTATACAAGTCGTTAGAACTCCCTCTGCCACAAAGGGGCCCGTTAAGGTCTTTAGTGGTCTTTCTTTTTTTAAAACAAACAAAAATCAAGAAGAAAAATCAAGACGTGACAAAAAAAAATCATCACATTTTCGTATCAGGTGCGACGTTCGTTTTCATCAGTTAAAAATAAAAAAAAAAGCCAATCTAAGCTTAAAATCTTGATGTTTTCTTTTGTTTTAAATATCTCGTTTAAAATTTTACCTAAATTTAATCAGATTCTGTTAAAAACCTGATTTCAACCAACAATCATGACAAAAAAAATTAATTCTGGGTTGAACTGCAGGCAGTGTTTCCACAGAGGGATGGTCAAACATCTGTGTACGAACTGCAGATTTGCCCACTGTGGGATCAGTAAAGGCTCGTCTTATCTCATTGTTCAGCAGTTTGTAGAAGCTGTAAACATGCAAATACTTAAATATCTCAAATATGTAGAACTTTGGAAGAATGTTGATTCCAGGTTTTTTCAATTTTTTTGCAAAAGAAATAATCAAAGAAGTTCTTGTTCTTCTATTTCATCGCATCATAACTGCATCAGAAGACATTTCTGTAGTTTGATGTTCCACTAATCATGGTTGTTCTGTGTCCACTGAGGTGCAGGACTTTATATTGCAGTGAAAAATGAACCCACAGTGAACAAAAACTCGACAGCAAAGACAAAAAAAGAAACCGCTGACGGTTCAGAGGATGAAATTGTCTGAAGAATTCAACACCTTGGCGCCCGAATTCCTCCACCGTCAAAGCGTAATCGAAAGTATTTCAGTTTCAGACACTTAAATCAAAGAACCGATCAACTAGTTATGCATTAAATCTTAGTAAACTCAACACTGTGACGACACAGCAGAGGATTTTCTCTCAGCGTTTCTGCAGTTTCATTTTTACTTCCTCCTCTGCCGCCTTTGTCGATTTTTCCGTCGAGCGGTTGGCGGTCGGACGACTTCCAGACCGTGCAGGTTTGCCGGTCAACCCCTTCGAAAGTCCAAAGATTCGTCCGTCCACGTCGGGCCGAGCCGCTCGACGAGAAACCGAAATGATGAGAGCGACCGAAGCCGAGCTGCGAGACTGAAGCTTTAGAGCCTCAGCTGGACCTGCTGCAGTCAGTCAACGGCTTCTTTATGAATATGGCCTCTGATTTTAAGCTATTAAAGTGAAATACCTCCGAATGTACAAACTGCTGTCGTGTTATTTCTCTACGCTGACATTTGGAAAGCAAGAATCTGTTGAACTGAGTTTGTTGTTGCTGTTAAACTCTAATTCAACCCCCTTAACCTGAACGTAACACCCAGAAATGTAAAAATGTGTTAAATACCATCAATGCTGCTTTTTTTAAAGGCTTATTTCACGTAGTTTATCCAACTAAACATGTTTTTATCTGCTCAGGTTTTGGTTTCATGTTTCAGTTCTTGTCTGTATTTCGGCCCCTGAAATGCTGTTAGGCCTCAAAAGACGTGGTTCAGAAGATGACTCAGAACTTTCAGTCGCTGTTTTACCAACTATTTAGAGTAATTTTAGACGAGAAGTGAGCCACTGACATTTTAAACAGAATAACTCACCAAGGCGACTGAGTTTTTGATTCATTTAGCAGAGACGCTAATGTCACTAATAGTTGAAACTGCAAATCTGTTGCTGCAAAATCAGTTTAACAGTGAAAATAAAGACAACTTTTGCTATTTTGGGAAGTACGCTAGCACCACACTAATATGCTAAAGCTGGAACCAACAGTCAGTTAGCTTAGCTTACCTTAGCAACACGATTGGAATATTAAGTGTTGCATAGTTAGAAGAGCTGAAGAGCTAGCACACTTGTTACCTCTGTTTCCAGTCTTTATGCTAAGTTCAGCTAACCGACTGCTGGCTAACATATTAGCATAGCTTAAAGTACTTCCCTAAATGTCACAAAATGATTCCCTTTTGGAAGACAAATTTTAGTCACAGAGGTCAGATCTGGTAGCTAAGCTGCTATGGTGCTTTGTTTGATGGTAACATCAAAGTAAAGGTTTATTATTTTAGTACCCAAAGGCTACGCTAATATGCTAAAGCTGCAGCCATCAGTCAGTTGGCTCAGTGTGGCATAAAGACTGTATTTAACTTGCTTTGAAGCTGTAGGAACAGGCTACCTGTTACCTTTGATGCTAAGCTCAGCTAACCAACTGCTGGGTGTAGCTTTGACATATTAGCTTAGTCAAATCAAACTAATTTCGCAACAACAGCTGTGAGATTTGACCAAAGTTTATGATCGACACAGAGTTATTTTGTGACATTTTGGAAATGTTCAATCTTTATGCTAAACACAGCAAACCAACTGCTGGCTGCAGCCTTAGCATATTAGCTTAGCTTTAACGTTGTTCTCTAAACGTCACAAAACAATTCCCTTTGGAAGGTAAACTTGGGGTGTTTGAAGGTTCTCCTGCAGCCAGTAGTCGACTCTTTTAATTTGTCACATTTATTCAGCTATGAAACGTTCTGGTTTGTTTGTATTTCTTTAAAATTAGCTTTCATCGATCAGGTACGTGTTCATAGAGCTGGAGTTACGTCCACTATTTGTCGTTGTTTCGTCACACTTAGATTTAAAGTCAACTCTGATTGGTTAAACTCGGAAACGACAACAAGCAAACATTTTTTCTGTTCTCATTCAATAGTCGTCTGTCTCACATCAGCATCGACAATTTAAAACCCACCATATGCAGTCAGACTAATCTACACAGCAACGCGTAGAAAAGTCTGACTGCACCGACATTATTTGTTTCTGCTACATAAAAACCTTGTTTGTTTGTACTTCTTTGAAACTAGCTTTATTCTCGGTCCTACTTGCTCATCAAACTCTGATAGCACCAAAACTAAAACAACATATACGAATCTTTTGACAGCAGCCATGTGAGAAACTGGACCGCAAGACTTCGGCTTCCGACGTGCCAGAAATCCAACAGAAGGCGACTAATCAGGCTTCGTGGACCTTCGGCCAGAAATTCATCTTTAAAGGTCACGACTCCTGAACACCAGAGCCGTCGACGAGTTAAAAAGTTGATAAAGCGCCTTCACCGAAAGTTCGTCACTCCGAGTTTAAGACGCTCCGATAAATTCACGGCCGAGTGTCAAACAGGCAGCAGCCTTCGCCTCCTGATTCACTCGTGTGACGTCCGTGCTGCTCGGCGAACAGTTTGTCCTCAGAAATAATGACTGCAGATCGTTTTTCGGAGGGTTTACAGTCGGGACGTCGAGTCCTGCCGGGCCTCATCTCACAGGTGAATGAAATTACCTGTAATGAGCCGACGGGCCAGAGAGACGGGCAGACTGAGCGCATCAACGGCTAATTTTTACATTTTTAAAAAAAGGAAATTTGATTTGGGTGACGTCTGCCTCCTTATAGCTGCTTCTAATCTAATCAGCATCACTTTCTCCTCCACTGTTGACTCTCCCTGATGTCGAACTTATCTCTAAATGACTCGTCCCTCGTCTTCTTCACACCTTTTCATACGACCAAGATGTCACGGCCAAAGTCGAAACCTGCAGAGCGATGGAAACTTTCAGCAAACGCAATTGAAAAGCTCCAACGCTGCTGATTTATTCATGATCTCAGTGCAAACGAGTGATTTTTCTGTGACCTTAGTGCTTCGGACTCAAGAAAACCAGCTTCAGAGCGTCAAAAAGGTCGATATTCGATATAACCCTCCATTAAAAACAATCTCCTGTTAGCTTCTGTGGCTAAATAACCGCGTGAATGGAACAACGACAACGTTTAGCGTCGTCGTTTATCGAGTTGATGTCACACAGAAGTTGAGGAAAAACTTCATAGATGTAAAATTACATGCCGTTCGTAGCAGCGGTTTAACCCGGAAGTTGCTGGAACGTTTCCACGACGTCACCTCCAGGTTCTGATAATTGTTTCAGTCAAATGTTCAAACGACGTCTTAAGGATATTTTCGTTTCCAGCAATGTTCCCGTAAAGTTAACGTTGTGTTTAAATGTCGACATTCAGAGGACGTCGTCAGGAACACTGATTATGCTCCGCGATGACAAAGGAAGAAAGTTTTTTACAACGTTCCTGTAATGTGATATGTTAAAGGTGGAATATTTTGCTTGAGAGCACATCATAGAACGATTATCTCTGATGAGTTCTTTGTAAAACGTTCCTGTACGAGGATATTGGGAACATTCTGACTGTAATGTTCTAAGGATGTTTTGGAAATGTTGTT